GCCGCCGTGTTGCTTCGGGTCCCGGGAACATGAGAAGCGGGTGGGAGATGTCCCAGACAGCTGCGGGGCTGCCCTGGCCCGCCCCCGGACCGCCTCCCAGGGGCCGCCAGCCCTGTATTTCAGGAATTTTTTTCAGACTTGTGGTATTAAAAGTTTGTACAGTAATTTTACTGTATTCGTTTTTGAGGGGCGGGGTTGTTTATTTGTTTTTTGTTTGTTGTTTATTTTTTTCTCCCGATATAATGCAGCTGTTCAAAAACTTACTCTGCGATTACTAAAGTGGTATCTTAAACTCGACTTCCAGCATACATCCTGTGAAATTAAGACCCAATCTAGTGCAGCCTGTTGGCACAAACTGCTGCAGGCAGGGAAGCTGCGGGTACAAGGCTCCCACGTTCACTGGCAGCTAAGGTTTGTGTCAGCCGCAATTCACCCGTGTAAGAGGTATACGGCTGATCTGTGAAAGATTTGGTGGTAGCCGGGAATGATTTGGAAATATGGTGGTGTACACTGATCTGTATTTAGGTGGTAGATGCACGAAGCAGGTTTTATGTTCAGTTTTTAGAACTGCGAGTAACCATTGTGCCTCATTTACTGAATGCTTTGGAAATCTGGTTACTTGAAACTAAGAAGGCTATAGCTTTATCAGATACAGTAGGACTTTGTTTATTTCATGCTGGTTTTCTCTTTTTAAGTAGCAGGTCCCACTGTTCTAAAGCAGGAGCCCATTTATTGGCATTCCGTGTGAGCTTTTAAGCAAAAACTTACTAGTAGCATTATATTACGTGCTACTGTTGTCTCACTGTCTTACCGTCACAGTGAGTTTTATTGACTAGATACAGGTTGCGAAAGACCCTAAAGGTCTTAAAATACACTGCTTTTCAAGATGTAGTCATATGTATTAAAATAATAATTCATGTAACATTATGTCAAAACAGTTCTAAAGTAATCACCTGAGCTGTAGTATCTTAGCAATATTAAATATGTTTGCTCTTGATAGTATTTTGGTGCTATGCTACTAGTTCAATGTATAAAAGCATTAATATTTTAGTGTTAGTAGAGAAACAAGGTGTTCCTTCCGAGAGGGAACAGACCCAGATAGTGAAACATGCAACCTATGATCAGATCAAATCCTACATATTTTTACAACAAAAATTACCTTTTTTTTTTTTTTTACACACAATGTAATACATAAATAGTGAAAGGCTAGGGAGCACCAATTCAACAGAACACAAGGAAAAAGTAGCCATGTTCTGTCTGGCTAGCTAAGACTTAAGAAAGACATCACAATTCAGGATTTTTACGATAATAAAGTCAGAAATAAAATGTAGAACAACCAACTCTCTGATGTGGGTCAATGCTATATTTCACAAACTGGAACAGAACACAAATAAAAAAGGTATCCTCTTAGATATTTGAAGAGGAAAGAATGTACTTTGTCCCTCTCAAGTGTGCTTCAACCATTTCTAGTGATATTCCAAAGTGATACTTGTTTTTGATCTCTTGAAACTTTGTGAAAACAAAGCCATATACCACAGAACAACAAATCTCTAATCTTACTGTTGAAATATTTCTGAGTTCCTTGTATTTATCCCTCTCCAAAGATACTCTGACCTTCAAAGCAAGCACATTGTCTCTATGGTCACTACTGACAAATTTTCATCTGCCATCTTTCATATACAGTACAACTTCAGGAGGCTTTGGTTCTAGATGTAGAATGTTTTAAATAAAAACATTTCAAAAATTTCTAAGAAGCTTTCTGGATATGCTGTTCCTTGAGAAAATCTAGTGTGAATGCTGCAATTGATTTAAAATGTCTCTACAAAGGCCTGCAAAAGATTTGGTGGGGTTTTGTTGTTGTGTTGTACTGTGGTGGTGTTAATGTATTATTTCAGTTTTCCAGTTCCTTATTTTCACTGGAAGTGTAGGTAGTTTCATCCTTCTACAAAATAAAGTAACTGCCACTGTTGATAAACATACAATATTCATGGAAGCATCTTCAGAATTATTTTTTGTTTTTAATTATGGCTAGCTATATTCTTTACAATTTAAGAACTATGCATAAATAATGATACTATATTTTCTTCACTGAGTTAAGAGTTTCTTGCTTGAATTTGAAGCATGTCAGAGCATAAGAGATTCAATGTGACTACCAGGATTTTGTAAAGCTGTTTCTGAGCAGATAATAGCCCAAACTACGTTGCTGTCATTATTTCCATTGATGCAAAACTGTGGTGAAGTTAGAAAGGGCAAAGTTTCATGGATTTGGTTTTAGTCTGTCACAAGAATGCCCTGCACAAGTGGGTCTACATGCACAGTGATTATGTTTAGGGCATGAAGTAACATGTAGCAGATGTAACATATTTTGTACCATGATGTTGTGCCCAAACCTATCTGCCCTCTGAGGGGGAGGGGATGTTTATAGCACTGCCAGCACTGTCTCTAATCTTGTCTTTTGAAGCACAGCAGGGAGTCTGACTTAGTTTTGAAGTCCTGCACAAAGGGTAGGAATAATTTCAAAGCAAGGTGGGATATACAGTGGAAATTATGTTAATAGAGGAAGTGTTAAGTTTCCTGTGAATAATAAGGATAAAAACATATCACAATCGGCAATCAGCATTCTTTGGGCGAAACATGGTGGGACACTTCCCATGACTGAATGTTGTCGTGGATGACTATGTACTATTTAGGAAAGACAGCAACAAGGCAAAGGTGATGGTGTTGCTCTTTATGTATGAGAAACTGGAATGCATTGAGTTCTATCCAGGGAGGGAGGCAGAACAGGTTGCAAGCTTGTGGGTAAGAAGGGACATGCAATTGAAGGTGAAACTGTTGTGGGTGTCTACTATAGACCACCAACCTAAGAAGAAGATGTTGATGAGGTCTTCAACAGTCAACTGGAAGTAGCCTCTAGATCACACTCGCTAGTACTTATGGGTGACTTCAATCACCCTGATATTTGTTGGAAAGCCCACACAGCAAAGCAGTTCCCATCCAAAAGGTTCTTGCAGTGCATTGATGATAATTTTCTAATGCAGATAGTGGAAGAACCAACAAGGAGAGGACCACTGCTAGACCCTACATTAACAAATAAAGAAGGTCTGGCTGGGGACATTAAGGTTGGGAATAGCCTTGGTGACAGTGACCATGACATGCTGGAGTTTAGTATTTTACAAGGAAGAAGCAGGGCAATAAGTAGGATTACAACCCTGGACTACTGCAGGGCTAATTTTGGACTCTTCAAATATCTACCTGCAGGAATCCCATGGGCTAAAACTCAGGAAGGGAGCTCAGGAAAGCAGGTCAATTTTTAAATACCATTTCCTCCAAGCCCAAGATAGGTGCATTCCTTCCAGTAGAACATCAGGCAGAGGTGGTGAAGGACCTGCACAAGGATCTTCTGAGAAAGTCTCATGGAAGAGACAAAAGTAGTTTGAGGAAGAAGGGACTTGCCACTTGGAACAACTACAGGAGCAGTATTAGGCTATGTAGGAAGGCAATAAGAAAGGCCAAAGCCTTCTTAGAACTTAAACTGGCAAAGGAAGTAAAGGAGAACAAAAAGTGCTTCTTCAAGTCTATCAGTAGTAAAGGGAAGAATAGGAAAAATGTGGGCACACTACTGAATGAGGTGGGAGCCCTGGGAGTAGAGGATGCAGAGAAAACAGAGTTGCTGAGAACCTTCTTTGTTTCAGTCTTTACTAAGACCAGTTCTTGTGAGCTTCAAACCCTGTTTATAGGAGAGGAAGCCTGGAGGAGGGAAGACTCTCCACTAGTCAATGAAGAGTGGGTCAGAGATCAGTTATGTAAATTGAATGTGCACAAGTCTATGGGCCCTGATGAGATCCACCCAAGAGTGCTGAGAGAGCTGGCTGATGTTATTGCCCTACCACTCTCCATCAGTTTTGAAAGATCATTGCAAACAGGAAAGGTGCCTGAGAATTGGAGGAAGGCAAATGTCACTCCAGTCCTCAAAAAAGGCAAGAAGGAAGATCCATGAAATTATAGACCAGTCAGCCTCATCTCTATCCCTGGAAAAATGATGGAGCAACTAATTTTGGAGGTCACCTCTAAGCACATGGAAGAGAATAAGGTTTATCAGGAGTAGTCAGCAGGGATTTACCAAGGGGAAATCATGCTTGACTAATCTGATAGCCTTCTATGATGTTGTGACTGAATGGATAGATGTAGGGAGACCAGTGGATGTAGTTTACCTTGACCATAGCAAGGCTTTTGACACAGTCTGCCATAACATCTTTGTAAGCAAACTCAGAATATGTGGGGTAAAAGAATGGGTACTGAGATGGATTAAGAACTAGCTAGACAATAGAGCTCAAAGAGTGGTGGTCAGTGGTGCAGAGTCCAGGTGGAGACCTGTAACTATTGGAGGCCCTCAGGGATCAGTGCTCTGTCCTGTTCTGTTCAACATCTTTATCAATGACACTGATGACAGGACAGTGTCTTCTCAGCAAGTTTGCTGATGACACGAAGCTGGGAGTCTTGGCTAATTCTCCTGAAGGCTATGCAGCCATTCAGCAAGGTTTGGACAGGCTGGAGAGCTGGGCAAAGAGGAACATAATGAGGTTCAACAAGAGCAAGTGCAGAGTCCTGCACCTGGGAAGGAGCAACAAAATGCACCAGCACAGGCAAGGAGGTGATCTGGTAGAGAGCAGCTCCGTGGAGAAGGGCCTTGGAGCCCTGGTAGACAACAGGTTATCCACGGGACAACAATGTGCCCTTGTGGCCAAGAAGGCAAATGATATTTTGGGGTGCATTAGGAAGAATGTGTCCTGCAGACTGAGGGAGGTTCTCCTTCCCCTCTACTTGGCCCTGGTGAGACCTCACTTGGAGTATTGTGTCCAGTTCTGGGCTCCCCAGTTCAAGAGGAGCAGGGATCTACTTGAGGGAGTCCAACGGATGATGAAGGGTCTGGAACACCTGTCTTATGAGGAAAGGCTAAGAGACCTGGGGCTTTTCAGTCTAAAGAGGAGAAGATTGAGGGGGAGATCTAATTAATGTCTGCAGGGATGCCTGCATGTACAGTCTCACATTGTGGAAGCTTGGTGTTGGACCAGGGAGCTCTGTCTGCCGGTTTTGCTGAACAGAGCAGCAATCCAAGTTAAACTGTGAAACCTGTGTGTCTCGCTGTACAGCTGCATTTGTAAGCTGCTGCATTACTGCGAGTGCTTGCAGAGCTTTGCCCACTTATCCGCCCCCACAGGTTCAAGCATAAAGAGGCAATGCAGACACTGTGGGAATAGCAGGCTAGTTAATGGAAGTGTGCTGGCTACCTAAAGCAGAGTTGCCCATGGAGCTTCCAGTCCAGTATGCTGCATTTTTCACTAATCACTCATTAGTGCACGTGGGTTCTATCAGAAGGCCCGCGGTGACAGTTGTGCGATGACATCAGAATACAAGCTCAGACACACATACAATAAGACAGGATGTTTGCCAGCCTCCTGCCGTCGCTGTGTCCAAAGCATCGATGGGTGACTGACCTGTAGTGCAGGTGCGTGGCCTGTAGCCCAGGCCGTGCAGGGAGCTGTGTCCCTGCTGCACCTCCCAGCCTGAGCCACGGCCTCGGACAGGCGGCGGGCAGCCCGGGCGAGCGGCAGCGGTGCTTGAACGCGGCACTCTAGGTA